AGCAGACCGCGGTGGACAAAAGTTTGGAGAACGACAGCAGGGATAGATGCTCTGGATTCCTATCGTCAATCTCTTCCTACGCATAGTATTGCCAAGAGTGATCCTACTAGCTGTACAATAGATCACTTGTTTGATAAAGACTATCCTCTCGCTACAGCTATTCACCTTATGCGGGTTCAGCTATCGAAATGTCGATCACGTCGCTGTAACTCTGGGCCACACGATGATGACTCTGATATCGGTGATAACGTGGCTTGTCCGTGCCGATACAAGTTCAAGATTTGCTTGTCGTCCGGAACCTGCGAGGTTTTCCAGCACAACGATCATTTGGCAGACATTGACGGGTCATCTAGCCCCGTTGAGCAAAAACTGACCCCTGTAATGAAGGAATACATTGTGGAGCAGCTTAGCTCGGGCATAAAGACCACCGCGGCCCGTCTTTTCGCTGTCATTTGTAGCATGGTACATGAAGGGGACATGTCCGGACCTCCGCCCAAAGACCAACAAGTTGTAGACTTTGTGAAGAATTGGCGAAGAAAAAATCCTAAGAACTCTTTGGCTCCGATGATTGCGATTTGCGATGGGCACATTTACGATCAGCAAAATTTAGCAGCACTAGCGGACACGACTTATTCTCTGTGACACACAGCCTGCAGCACAGCCTGGTAGTACTGCCGTTGTCTCTCGTCTAGGCGATGGGTCGGAAGCATACCCGTTCCGTGTTGGGATGACATGTCTTAGGCAAATTCGCGAATATGTTGACATACAAAATCGCAGTGACACTACCACAATTTTTCACTTGGATAGTACTCCTGGCCTGGCAATTTATGGGTACTCAGTGTTTGCTTTTGGGTATTCAGATCAGAGCTGCCATTTTATACCAATGGCGTATTTCTGTACATCCCAGAAAACCAAGCTGGATGTAGGCTGGTGTATTCGGTACCTGGAGCGTGTCTGTATGGATATTTTTCAAGTTCATTTTTCCCCTCAATACGTGATGATGGATGCCGACAAGGCTCAATTCAATGCCTGTGTAACTGAACTTGCACACTCTACAGTCCTTATGTGCTGGTTCCATGTAACGCAAAATGTTTGGAAACATGCAAGAGCAAAACGCGTTTCCTCTAAGGACACCAGCAGCGTATTCGAAGATCTCTATGACATGCATTACGCACAGCGTGGCGAGTTCGAAACCATAAAAGAGCGCGTGCTAGCTAAGTGGAGAGGACTTCAGCAAGCTTCGGCTGTTCAGAAACTTACACAGCATATTATTAAGCAATGGATAGATACGCCTCGATTTGCAAAGTGGCAGGCTTTCCACACTCCGACAGGCTATGCTTCAACAAACAATCCCCTTGAGCAGTACCATCGAAGACTGAAGTTGGAGTGTCCTGATGGACCACAGTCGCCTGACGAGCTGATAAAAGGGCTGGATAGGGCACGCATCGCTTTTCTACACCGAAACATATCTTTTTGCAATTTCAGCACTGCCTCAGATAGGTTAATCCTATTATACCGACTTTTGGCTCGACGTGGCTGTATTGACGTAGAGCGTCTACCCGGAATTGGATCACTACAGGCCGATTTGTATCGTGTTTTGCAACGCCCATTAGAGCTCACAGCAAAAGAGAAGAAATCTTTGAAGCAGTCGGTCAAGTCTGCAAACGGCAGGCGTAAACAGCTAGAAGGCATGCCAGTTTC